CTTGAGAAAGTTCCTAATAGCTTGTCATGTATTAAATAAAAACGATCTGTTGTAACATCTATTAGATTATATGCTTATACACAGATTACAAATTCTTTTTTTTTTGGCTTCAAAATTAAAACAAAACAAAAACTTCACAAAAATGAAAAGTTCAAAGGGCATGGTGGTTCACACCTTTAATTCCAGCACTAGGGAGGCAGGGGCAGGTGGATCTCTGTAAGATAGAGGCCAGCCTGATCTACATAGCCAGTTCCAGTCCAGGTAGGGCTACAGTGAGACCCTGTCTCAAAAAAAACAAAAAAAAAAAAAAATCCCTCTGTTTCATTTTAAAATATACTCTTTCTTATAGAAAGACTCATTGTTTTTGCTACTAAGCTCATTGTTTTTGCATGTTGGTGCATGCATCTCTAATCTGTATGTATCTGATTATTACTAGTCATAATCGGTTGCACTCAGATCCTTGGCACATGTGTATGTCTATAAAGTCATCGAGTAGATTTCAATCGTAATGTTTATCACCTCTACTAATTAGCATGATGTAAATTTTTATGCTTCCTCCTCAAATATAATTCATTTTTTAAAATTTGTTGATCACCCTCCCATAGCCTCCCTCCCCTGACTAGAGCCCTTATACTCTGTTATCCCTGCTACTGTCTGCTGTGTTGTCAGCACCCCAGACATTCCCCACTACAGATCACAAATTCTAAGAAATATGTCATAGAAGTTAATGACATATCCTAACACTTGAGGGTTTTGTTTGTTTTGCTCTGTTTGAGCCAGGATCCTATTCTGTAACCCAGGCTAACCTCCAATTCATGGCAATTTGTCTGCCTCCCCCTCCAAAGAGCTGGAATTACAGGCACAGCCACTGCACCCAATGTTGGGATCTGAGTCTGATTTGTGTGTGTGTGCATATGCACTAAAAGTCTGTTTTTTTTGTTTTGTTTTGTTTTGTTTTGTTTTTTTTTTAAATCAAGTTATAGGTATTCTAAGCTTAAAAAAAAAAATTCTCCTGTGGACTCTGGACCAAACCCAATTTTGTTCTGTTGGTCTCAGCTACCTAAAACAAAACAAAACAAAACAAAACAAAACACAAAACTGTCTTGCTGAGTGCTTATGTCTCCAGCACAATGAAACATTTCCCACCCTCTCATTAGACCTGGACTCTAGTTAAAAGTGGATTCCCAGGCATGCTTTAGGAAAATTCCATCAACATTATCATTTGAACAAAGGCCACATGCTATGTTATTCCTAGTGAGCTGCAAGCGTATATTCCTACTGTGCTTTGTTGTTTCAAGATGCTTCTGGAAACTCATTTTAGAGCAAAATATTATACAGTTCTAAAATTTTAAGCATTTGTGCAGTAAATAATAATGACACATGAACTATTTAAAATATAAGGAAGAAAAACTAAGCATCTAAGACAATTAAAGAAAAGATTATGTATAGTCCATTCTCTGTATACTTTATTTCCAGCACCTTTACCTTAGCAGTCAATACACAAGCTCTATAAAACCAGTCAGAGTTGAAACTGGAGAAATGACAATGTAACATTAAAGGATATTTTCTTATTTCCATTCATTCAACCCCATCAATAATAGCATGATATAACCATTATTATTACCTTCTCATCTATGTCTTCTAAAGCTTTTCTGCATTCTTCCATCTGGGATTCCATCTCGGCAGGGACTATGGTATACATTTCCGAATACTTGATGCGCAGTCTTTCCATAATGTTCTCAAAAGTTAGTTTCCCCTTCTTAAGAAGGCTTTGAATTTCCTAAAAACATCAACAGAGTCTTCATGCTTACAGGACCTGGGAAAAAGTTGAGCTCTAAAAAGTGAAAGCACCTTTCTGTGTCCTCATGACTTAAATGAGCGAACTTTGCATGACAAAACTTCCCCATTGATACAAGCTGATTAAGTCCCAGAGATACCAGGTTTAGCCAGATGATGCTTTCTAATTTGTAAGAATTAAACTTGATAGCCCTTCAGAGTGTTAGCCCATTGTGGCAGGAAGACATTACAACACCCCCTGCTTCTAAAGTACCTCTAGGATTTACTGTATCTCAGTTGCAGCCTTGTAAAAAGCAACAAGTAGCCAAAAGTTTCAAAGAAGGTTTTCCCCCTGTTGTTATTAACTTGTTGCAATTTCTCCTTCTTCCTACATTATCATCATAGTGCGTCAAGGTCACTAAAAGCCCCATATTTGAAGCAAAAGTGTCTGTTTCATGTAATTAGACAGTCAGGCAGAGCTCCACTCCTTTGAAAAGGGAGGGTTCCAGTTCCATGCAAAGAATGTAGGTTTCAGGAGATAAAAGCTGCTTGAACAAACAGTCCATTGGTTGTGGCCTAGAAACAAAATCTGATCCACGTTCTCCTGCAGTAATTATAAAGGAGAAACTCATTTGTTTGGGAAAGTTTCCCAAAGATCAAGTGGAAAACTACTTCTTGACTTTCCTGTGGCTTTTATGTCCTTTAGTTTTGCAGTGACTGTTGAGCAGCATTGTTTGTGTGAATGCATTGAGTCCCAGCCCCAAGATATGGTACCAACTCTAATGACTCAGGGATGTGTCACCCTGCTTGTCTCAGTCCTCACCAGAGAACAAGCTTAGAGAGGGAAAACTAAAGAGCGAGGTCGTGCAAACACAAGTGGGCTGCAGGTCTGCCTTCCTGTTCTCTTTGACCCAGGCCAGGAAGATAGGTCTTTGTTAGAGCTATACCAAGATGGCTTCCCCACCAAGAGTGCTTCCGAGAGTGACAGTAGGTTTTCCTTTTTCTGGTTAACAACAGCAGGAGACTTATGCATAAAGTCCCCAAAGTCATTTTGAATGGAATGAGACAAGAGTTCACTCTGAAGAAACAAGTTCTCAAAATGACCCTCTGTGTGTTCACAGCTCCTCTCAGAACTGAGACACAAGACACAATGTTGAACCAAAAGGAGCAATCTAAAAGGTCCCCCACATGTAGACTGAGGCCCCTGATCTCCAAACATACTGGAAATATGGTTGAAATAGGGCTGCTTATTCCAGAAAGACCTGTCCCGCAGCCTGGCTTCAGTGCCACTCTGTTCTCCACCATGTTCTCCATCCTTGCTGGCTCTGCACACATACTGTGCACCACAGTTCCTCTGCGTGTGCTTCCCTGTCTCCCCAGATCTCTCTGTGGACCACTTTTTCCAACTCTAGTCAATGAGTTAGTTACTTCTGCTCCAAGAACCTGAATACAAATGGTGACCCACTATCATCCACACGCACTAATTCTTCCCTCACTTACCTCAAACTGTTCTGCCCTTTCTGGATGGCCTTCTAATGCCATGTTTTGGAAAGACGTTGAGATTTGTTGAAATAAATGCTTCACATCAGCTATTTCCTTTGTGACAGAACGTCGTTCCTGGATTTCTGTCTCAATCAGTTCCTTATTCTTTTGAACTGTCTGAAGAAGCCTGAAATAGAGCATCAAAATATAACTGTCTCACTAAAGCATTCACAAATGATCACTTCCCCCTAGGAGACAAGTATCAGCTTTTACTGATGCATATACCAAATGGTCAAACATACATTATATAGCATAAAGCTGATCACTTAATCAAAAGTGTCTCCAAAACTTCCATTCCACAATATCCTGTTTAAACACTTCACATCCTAATTTCTATCTCCATCTGTTCCATGTGGGCCTTGGTCTCAAATGCAGAGACAGGCACGAATAGTCATGCGTGGACTCTCAGAACAGACAACCCTATCAGCCATTTTCTCTTCAACAGACCACTTCCTGAAGAGGTGACTGAGTGGGGAAAGTCTTTCCTGAGTTATTTGGTAAGTATCTGTCATGCACAGTACAGTAAGAAATATGTAGTTAGTCTGCCTCCCCAGGTCCTGAGATAGGACCTTTCTTACAGGCAGGAATGCTATTAGAATCACTTGTTCTAATTTTTTTCTATTTTTAATTTTTTTTTAACTTTATGTGTATGAATATTTTGCCTGCATGTAAGTGCACCTGTGCCGTGCAAAGCCTACAGAGGCCAGAAGAGGGCATCAGATCTCCTGGAACTGGAGTTATGGATGGTTGTTAGCCACCATGTAGGTGCTGGGAATCAAACCCATGGTCCTCTGGAAAAGCAGCCAGTGCTCTTAACAGCTGAGTCATCTCTCCAGCCCCCCCATATTTGGTTTTATTGTGAGCAAATATGGAATCCAATCTCTCTCCAGGTTGTGTCAGGACAGCACTGTAGAAACTCCAGCAGGTGTCAGCTGACAAGTGGTTGGTGCATATGGGGAAGAAAACTTTCACATATCTGTGAGAAGTGTTAGGTGACTGTTTAAGAGTAGAGAAGAAAACAGTTTTTTCTTTCTGGCATAAAAATATTTCTGGAAGTGTGCTGGGCATGGTGGCATACACCTTTGATCCCAGCACTTGGGAGGCAGAGACAGCAGATCTCTGTGAGTTCAAGGCCAGCCTGGTCTACATAGTGAGTTCCAGGACAGCTGGGGCTCAGGGAGACCCTGTCTCAAAAAGGCCAAAAAAAAAAAAAAAAAAAAATTCCTGAAGTGACTTTTAACATAAACATAATCAAATTTTACATAACTTAAAAGCTCTTTAGAGGTTTGGTTAAATACATTATGGCACATCCACATGGTAGAATATTATACAGATACATTTTTTATATTTTTATTTTATTATTTTTATTTTATGTGTATGAGCATATTGCCTGCATGTATGTGAGTGCACCCGTGTCGTGCTATATGCCACAGAGGTCAGAAGAGGGCTTCGGATTCCCCTGGAACTGAAGTTAAGGACGGTTCGTAGCTGCCATGTGGGTGCTGAGAATCGAACCCAGGTCCTCTGCAACAGCAGTCAGTGCTCTTAACTGCTGAGCCATCTCTCCAGCCCCTACAGATACATTTTTAAATGGACATTGAATGGCATAGGAAACAGACGATCTGTTGTAAACCATTCAGCAGAATACAAAACAGTGCAAGTACTATAATTTCAATTTATTTCAAAATATAACTGCAGTGAAAAGATCAGGAAAAAGTGATTGGCAGTGATTTTTGCTTCATGGTGAGATTAAAAGTGGGTTTTCACACTAGTCTTTATAATTTTCCATTCTCTAAACTTCCTGTAATGTATACGTATTACTAAAATGCAAAACAGTATACATTTAATTTTCTAAACTTTGAACAGAAATCAAGCACATTTCCTTAATAGCTCCCCATAAATGGTACCTGTTGCATCGTTCTTGCATAGACCTAATCTCTTCAAGTGCCGGGACAGCTTCCACAGCCTCTGTGCCTTCAGGAACATTCTGGATACTCTTTATGCGCTGTAGAAGCAGGGCCAGCAGCAGACTTTGCATCTCCACACTGTCCTCATGCTGGCGTGAAGAGTCCAACAGCTGAGAGAGTTCCTCTGTGGTAGCTGCGTCTTTTATTTTGGAAATTTCTGGGAGTTCCTCCTGAAAATTATCTAAAATAATTGCTTCTCGTTCAATCTAATTCAATGAACAAAACAGAGAGAAGCAGAGGAGGTGGGGGG